TTTTTTTTGTTCATACAATATTACTTAGTCTTGTTATCGCAATTCTTGAAGTCGAGGAAAGACTAATTTTAGTCGTTAGATTTTTTTTTCACTGAGGGACTTAAAGTGAAGCTTAAAACCTCACTCAGGATTTCGGTCGCCATAAGAACTTGGGTAGACAAAATTTGACTTTTTCAGTATTTTTAAAGTTGAAAGATAATTTGTTTTCCTGGTAGAGAGTACTTAAACTGATGTTTGTGTTTTTAGCACAATTAAAATAAAAGTTATTGACTGCTTGAACGCTCTGTAAAATTCAGCCTTTCACTTTTCTATTGCTTGAAATTGTTTTCTTGGTAGAGAGTGCTTAAACTGATGTTTTTGTTTTTAGCACAAACTGAAATAAAAGTTAGTGATGCCTTGAACTCTATGTAAAATTCAGCCTTTCAGTTTTCTATTGCTTGAAATTGTTTTCTTGGTAGAGAGTGCTTAAACTGATGTTTTTGTTTTTAGCACAAACTGAAATAAAAGTTAGTGATGCCTTGAACTCTATGTAAAATTCAGCCTTTCAGTTTTCTATTGCTTGAAATTGTTTTCTTGGTAGAGAGTGCTTAAACTGATGTTTTTGTTTTTAGCACAAACTGAAATAAAAGTTAGTGATGCCTTGAACTCTATGTAAAATTCAGCCTTTCAGTTTTCTAGTACTGATTTTGCTGATGTGAATGAGGCATTATTATTAAGGACCCTAAGCACTCAGGATGGTAACGCCGAGGAAGACGTCGATTGAAAAATGAATTTCTACTTGTCATTAGAATTTCGAAAATGGCTGCATGTGTTTACCGTCTCATACGGCGCCACACCTCAACTTCAGCATAACGTATAAAATTAGCGTTGAGTTCCGAATGGAAATTAAAATAATTTGCCGTCGCGGTTTCCGTTCGCAGACAATGCAAATTTTGGTGATTTTACGTTGTTGTTTTGCTAAGAACAATAGCTCACGCACGTGCTGAGCTATTGTTCTGCCAGTTAGATCTTTTGTTTTTTCACGTCCTTGTTGCCGACGCCGTCGTGGTTTGCTTGAGGTCCCTATTATTTACTCAGTTGTAGATCTTCGTTGTCGTGTTTGTAGCCTGCGTGTAGCCGTACCCTCCCTTCCCGAGGAGAAACGTTTCTCCTCGGGGGGGGGGGGGGAGAGCGGGTACGGCTACACGCAGGCTATCGTGTTTGCTATGCCATAAAAGTTCAACATGTCATTTTTTAAAAGGTGTATGATTTTCTTTAACTTCAAAATTAGCGGATGAAGAGATGACGCTGTCTTACAACAGGACAAAGAAATTTTTTCTTCCACTTTCTTCTCAGCCATCCCTGCAGTTTGCCATCCCTGCAGTTTGCCATCCCTGCAGTTTGCCATCCCTGCCATCCCTCAGCCATCCCTGCAGTTTGCCAATGCTGAATAAGGTTCTCAATTAGCGAGGAATAGAAACTCTTTGACCAAGAAGTTGCTACGGAGTTTCCGTCATTAACAGCTGTAGCCAAAGGCAAATCATTCGTACACAAATTTCCAGCCAATCGTCGACTGAGGCCCAGTTTAGACGTCGTGCTCAAGCCGTGTCGAACTCGATTTCAGTAATTAAGTTCGACGTAAGCACGGTAGAAGCATGGCGTCTGAATAGGCCATTTTACTGTTGTGTACTTAGTTGCCAAGCCTTTGATTCAGAGTGAGGCTGAAGGTGACCTTGTTGTGATAGAGACCTGTATCTACTTAGCATGATAACAAAGTGATTTACATTTGAAAGGCAGCAAGGTTTGTATCATAACAAGGTCAACCCTAGCCTCACTCCCATTCAAAGGCTTGGCAACCAAGCACACAACTGTAAAATGGACTATTAAACTTTTGAATTGAGCTCGGCAAGCAATTAAGTCGGACAAGCTCTGCTGTGCTACTCGACTCTGGCGTGACAGCGATTCAAACGTCGTACTTCTGCCGAGCCAAAGAAATTCGTAAATTATGCTACTGTATTGTGGCGGGATTGCTTCCTTGCTGGAAGTTACGAGAATGAATTGTTACTCTACTTCAATAAATCCTGAATTTCCTACGACTCTAGCTCGATGTCTGAATCGGAGTCGTGTTTCAGAACAATACGATGCAAGAGTGCATCGTGATTGGCTAGATAATATGCGCCTGACTTTTAATTGTATTCGCTGAGGTAGCATTTTATGTGCGTGCGTTCCAATGCTCTGTTGATAGTACATAACTTTGTAAATACATTTTGAAAATCAAATGATCTTACGTCAGCCCAGAAAGGGTTTTTTGAGAATATATTTAAATCACGTAAACATTATTAAGATTTCTGTAATTGAGGTAGATAATACAAATGTAATTTTATTTTCTGGAAAAAGCCACACAAATCTAAATTTTTACGTTGGTATTTCGCAATTCGTTTCTGCATTACTTTTTAAAATTTATTCTTAGTTGTAAATGTTGTTATATCGAAGCCTTAGAGAAGAGGAAGTTTTAATCGTCTCTAGAAGGTCTTTAAATGCAGTTTGCCTGATCAGGATAAAATTTCGCCGCAAAAATTTCGTTTGCCTGTTGAGATTTACCAACTGATCCTTTATGAGAACCGTGAATAAATTAATTTAACAATTGGAACCTGAAAATTTTAAGTAAATTCATGAAAAAGTAACACTAAATATAGGAAAGTTATCGTGAAACGTTCCCGTTCCTATGTACCCCTCAGAAATCGGTTCTACACTCATCTTTTCCGTTTACGATTTTTTTAGTACAAACCATTTTTCAGTAGAAAATCTTTTTATTGAAGAGTAGAGTGTTGGAGTGATTGCTGTATCAAGCTTCTAAATACTGATCTATTATCATAATAGAAACTGTACCAATTCAATATTATACCTTTGCTAATTTTTTGAAGATTATTTTTCCAATAGAAAAATAAAAGTTTAATCTTATATTTCAAATGCCTGTGTTGGTTTCTGAGGTGTTATTATTATTTTTTTTTTATCATTTTTGCTTTCATCATTTTTAATTATTATTATTACTATCATAATTGTTACAACAACGTTATTAAAATCCATATTCTAATCCACATACTGTATTGCTAAGAGAAAAGAGATATTCTTGACCTTATATGATGTTATAAAAAAGAATCCTCTCAAAGATCATCAATATATATTTAAGCCATTATTGTTATCATAATCCTCATCATTATCTAGTAGCAGCAGCAGCAGCAGTAGTAGCAGCAGCAGCAGCAGTAGCTGCAGCAGCAGCAGTAGCAGCAGCAGTAGCAGTAGTAGTAGTAGTATTCTAATTATCTTCGTTGTTGTGAACTCGAATACTCCAATTTTGCCCAGTTGGTGATCTGTGATTTTAATGGCTGGACTATTTCTACACTTATAAACTTCATTTTCACAAGTTTCTTTTACTGGGGTGCTTTAAAAGAAGTTTCGCCAATGACAACTAATTGAATATCGTAATAACATCACAGATCCTGTTGCATTAAAAAAAATACATATTACACTATCAGAGCAGTTTTGTAAGGACGTCCCATTTTGTCTTCAAAGATTTTAGGCTTGCTGGGTAATCCATAAATGCCCATAAATGGCAGCCTTTTTTCGCTCACTCGAAAATATATCTTTTCGAGGTCTTGGTTTGTAATACAGCTGAGTATTTTTACAAGTGGTGCCATATGTTGACAAGCCCACAGCGTAAGTCAAAGAACTACGAGAAAATTATCATTATTATCCTTTTCCTCCTCCTTTCAACGACCAAAACTCCCTTCCTCCACTCCGTCCCCTCCCTCTCAATAAACCAATCTCTCCATCTCCACCCGTTGCCTTCCGTCTCAGTGACCCAACCTCCCTCTGTCCGCCCCCTCTCCATATACCGCGCCTTTCACATGCAAGTGTTACATTTAAGCTATTTGACCCTACTCCAATGTTCTGGTCGACTGTCTTAACCACTTTAAGGGCAAGTCAAATATCACAGAACAATACTTTTAATGTATCCTTCAAGACTCTTCCAAAAGAATTTGAGGCATTTGAGATCGGTTTGAAAAATCTAAATTTGGAACAAACGTAAAGGCCCTAAGAGTACTGTAGATCCGCGCATGGCATGTCCCGTATCACCGTCACTTCTAAAATTAAATATTTCCGCATTCTACTGCCTATCGAGGACTATTGTTGTGTGACCGACCAGCATTCTCTAGGGCCGCCAGCGTTGGTCAGCTTTACAATTACCAGATTACTGTTAAAATTTTCAGAGAAAATTGATCAAAATTTCCCGTAAAACTTAAAATGATGCTCGAAGGAATGAAAAAAAAAAAAAAAATTGTAATTGACATTTTTTTCGTTTATCTTCACTGCCTTTAAAATTGTGTGACTGTGTCACGTTTCCTCTTGACCAATCAAATGAAAGGAAACTTTATTGCACGTTGGTAAATCGCTATTGGTCTATTCGTTAAAAAAAAAAAAAGAATAAAGCATGAATAAGCTCATTTTATCACCTAGAGTACATTTTGGAGAGCAGTCATGGTGAATCTCGGAGATGAGTTACCCGACTTCGAAGTCGACACAAGCCACGGACCAATCAAGTTCCACACATTTATAGAAGGAACGTGAGTAGAACAAACTTTCCACGTGTGTGCATGTCTATACTAGGGTGTAGAGAATAGTGATTGACTTCTTTTATCTTCCTACACTCGGGATTATTTCGATGCAGTTGCACAACTAAGTTTAAATCTTGTGTCGTGCAGACATCCACTATTGAAGCCTTTAAGCCTTGTTTTCAATTTTTCGTATCTAGCATTACGCGCTGGTTGATAATAGCTTAAAGTGCTGACCACTCGAACAAAGCAAATTAATGCAATGGAAATTAAGACACGTCGCAGTATGGAACATTTTCGTATCCATTATAGAATAGAACGTCAGGGAAGTTTATATTCCGATTTTTTTAAAGAATTATAAGTACACAGACATTTCCTTGATATATAGGTCAACCCGAACGTTCAATATTTTTAACGGTTTGCCCTTGTGTTAATACGAAAATATGATCGTGTCAATCTGAACGCATATCGTAATGTTGCAACAGAATGGGAATAAATGTGTTAGAATTTATCTTCAAATATCATAAAATGTTACCAGTACGGTAAAATTTAGAATTTACGAATTAATGATAACGATAGAATTAGCGAAACTACGTTGTAGACTTCAATTGAATACTGTCAAGTGGACCGCACCGAGTCTCTTCGACTGACCGCAGGCTGTCGGTTATTTTGCCTGTTCGAGATAGAAGTGAATTGATAACAGTATAAATAGCCTCAAAATTGGATGATATATTTTGACTGGTTTGAAGTTGACCTCTCTACATGATGTAAAGGAATTGGCTTGTTTGAATAACTAGACATTTACTTGAGTTTGCTTCACATTGCTGGTTGATGATTAACAAAGGTTTTTGTAATTTGCATCTCATTAAGATGCCTTGTTCACTTTGAAACGGAATTTTAAGTTTTATGCTATGAAGCACCTCAATATAATTTTGTTTGGCAAACGATGCACATTAAAACCCGAGTCAAAACTTGTGATGGCAAATTTAAAAATCTCTAGCAGACAAAATATAACTGATGTTTGAGCTCTAGTTTTGTTTGACTATCTGAGAATCACACGAGTCTCAGAACTGTTAACCACATTGCAATCTTCAAAACCTGAAATCTGAAACCTGAAATCTGAAAATACAAGTCAGTGATAATCAGAAACGATTAAATTCTTTTCTTTAGGTGGGCTATCCTGTTTTCACATCCCGCAGACTACACACCTGTATGTACCACTGAGTTGGGGCGTGTTGCTGATTTAATGCCAAAGTTTGAAAAGCGTGGTGTGAAACCTATTGCCTTGTCATGTGATGGAGTTGATTCTCACAAAGGTTGGATCAAAGATATACAAGGCTACAGTGGGCTCAGTGGGGATTTTCCATATCCTATCATTGCCGATGAAAAGCGTGAACTTGCTGTCAAACTTGGCATGATTGATCCAGATGAGAAAGATGCTGCAGGTCTGCCACTGACTGCCCGTGCTGTGAGTTTATTTTGTAAAATTTACAGGCTAATATATCTGGGTAATTAAAGTGATGGTTATTTTGACAGAAGTGAGAAGGGAAATTTTAATTTCTGAAAAAAACCTGTTTAAGGAGAGACTAGAAAGGAAAACATAATCAACTTACAGGTGATGCCATATTTGGGAATCAAACTCAAGCCACAGAGGTGGGAAGAAACCTGTCCCATCACTACACCCCCAGCTCCCTGTGTTTGAAAGGGAGAGAGAAGGGATGGAAGGATGAAAAGGAGAGAAAATGGAAGGGTGAAATGGAGAGAAAATGGAAGGGTGAAAAGGACAGAAAATGGAAGGGTGAAAAGGAGAGAAAATTCTGCATTAGATGATACGACTGCTGTGTTCCAACTCTGAAGAGTGTACACTTGTCTTTGCCAGCCATCTTATAAAGTAATGAAGTTAACAGTTTTTTTTACAACTTGGTTGGTCATACGTGCAAAACTATTGTGCACTATTGATTATGATAATCAAAAGATTTAGTAAATGATTTAACACTCAAGTCAATTCCTGAGTTTTTGAACCTCCTTATGGAAATTGTTTGAGATTAGACAGGAAGTTCAAATGATGACCCATACAAATATAGTGTTTGCATGACTCTGAAGTCATGCTAATGCTCTGGTTTGGTCTTAAAACATTTTGATGTTTTATCACTTAGTAACTGAATTTTTTAAACAAATAAGATTGTATTTTTTATTAATATTTCATAGTAAATGCTTCTAAAGTGTACAACTCCAATAAAAATTGTCTGTGGTGCTTTGCAATAAGTGTGAAAAAAAAAAATGAAAAATTTTGATTAAAAAACTTTTGAAACTTTGATAACTGGAAGACTCTTGACTCTTGTATTATGGCTTTCTTTGAGGAGAAAAATGAATCATTTACTGTCTTTTTCTACTACTTTAGGTGTTTATCATTGGACCAGACAAGAAGCTCAAGTTGTCTCTTCTTTACCCAGCTACCACTGGACGTAACTTTGAGTGAGTAATCGAATCAATCAGTTAATGTGCCCTTCATAGAAACTTACAAATTAAAAAAATCAAAGTTTGTCATACACCTGAGTTATATGTTGCTGTCAATCATATGTTACTTCATTAGAATGACTTGGTATGCGATCCCTGAGTTTTCATTATGACATTTGGTTTCTTTTTTCTCTGTTTTTCATTTCTAGGGTTACCTGTAGTCAACTGATTTTTGGTAAATTTAACGTATAGTAACATTATAGCCTTTACATTTGCTTTGAATTCCATAGATCTTGTATTAATCAAAGGCACCTTGCCTCACTCCTTTTGACCACATCCCTTCTAGAAATCCCCATTACACCCCTATACTTCATGTGGAGTGGTTTAAATGAAACTCCTCTTTGTTTTATTGTAGTGAAATTCTGCGTGTGATAGACTCCTTGCAGTTGACTGCCACAAAGAAAGTTGCTACTCCAGTTGACTGGAAGGTAACTATTCTCTTTAGGATCCCTTCTTTATGGGATTAGCAGTTTATGAGAGGCTGCATTTTCAACCTAGTTGTGTTCCATCATTGCTACTTACGGTGGATTCATAGAAAACTAATCATTTTTGTGCATCAAATATTTTACCTACCTCTCAGAACAAAAGGATTTGTGGACAAGTATCTGAGAATAATTTTGATCAAAGTGAAGGAAATTTTTTAATAAATATGTATTCATTTTCTTACCTTGTTATGATTTGTCCATGTTTTTTTTTACTTGCAATCACTGTTTTTTCCCATTAATTGAATTGAGTCATTAGTTATGGTATTTGATGTATCTATTATTATTTCTCAAATATGTTTCCACTGAAGCATTTAGCAGTTTTTTTTGGGGGTGGTAAAGAATTAAAAAGGTAATTAGGCTTTAAACTATGTGTACGTTGTACTTCAATTTTATACTTGGTTCAAATTTTATTTTCCTTTGTTCTCGGTCATGTTAATGTATGATAACAAGTTTGAAACAAGGGAAAATAAAATTTGAACCAAGGATAAAATTGAACTACAACATGTACATTAGTGGTGATGTTACATTTAACAGGTTGATAAGGGTTTTTAAGCTTGAATGGGGCTCTGGTTTGTTAGATGTGTTTATAGCAAAGCCATCAGTTCCCATTTCTCTTCTTTTTTTTTTAATTTTTAACCTTATAGGCTGGTGGAGAATGTATGGTTCTTCCCACCGTTAAGCCAGAGGATGTGCCTAAACTATTTCCAAAAGGTGTTACTGTCAAGGATGTGCCATCAGGCAAAGGATACATGCGTGTAACCCCTCAGCCAGAGTAATGCACAGAGGCAATGGTGTACCCCACACATCCTCACCCTTAATTTCATGACAGCACATCCTATTTATAGCTAGACTAATATAAAGTGAAGGAAATTTAGTCTGTTAACTTGATTATAGTGTACTTGTACTGAGCCTTGGTAAACGTGCCAAAGCTTGAGAAGGAATTTGATAAGCTAGGGCTTGATTCAATGATCAACAACATGTAATTGCTGAGCTGTCAAAATAAAGAACTCTGCACAATTAAAAACAAACTGGTTGCCTTTTGTTCCTAACTTCTTTGTTTTCCAGGATTGGAGCTACCTCAACTTGAACAGAAGTTCTTTTGTGGTGCTGTTATTGTTTATTTCAAGGAAAGGGAAAGGAAAGACAGTGTACATGCACTTCATTTTGCCCTTGGTACTAGTTTCTGCCCTTGGTTAGTGCAGCCATTCCTCCTTTGTGATTTGATCTTTTCCTCATCAATATATCCCGATAACCTTTCTTTGCAATGTATTTTTTGCCTCCTCTTCCCATCCCCCTCCCCTCCCTCCCCCACTCTTGTCCAAACCAAAAACTGCAACTACTTTTTAAAGAGTGACAAAAATTCAAGCGGAAAAGCATTGCTTGTTTGTTTGCATGCTTAATAGACACCTGGTGCCACTGGGCGGGGTCTTCATCTCCTACAACAGATCATATCATATGGAGGATGTCCAAAATGGGTATCTTCTGCTCATTATTAGTGAGCATTAATATTGATACGTCTGCATACAGGAATGACTTGTATGACTGAAGGAGGTACATAGGTTTTGCTGCTCTAGGATGACATTAAACCGGTCGGGGTTTGACCCAGAACCTTTTAAACGTAAGCTTTGCGCGGTTACCTATAGGCCAACGCAATCCTCACCACTTTAATGGCTTAAGTAAACAGGGTATTTAGGAAAAGTTTAGCCGTTGTTTCCAAACACCACGCCCTAAACAATTCTCAATTTAGCAGGACCTTTGATCTGAACACTTAATTTTACGAACAGTGTCAAGAGGGCCGAAAGCTGACAGTGAAAGGACATGTATTTGATAAATCCACCCTCTTATAGAGAGAGCCTGAGGCCCACTGATTGCGTAACACCGTGGTTTGGGTTAGACCGTGTTAAGTAGCGGTCCTTCGTCGTAAGATAGCCTCAAAAACTAAGGTAAATCAAATGAACTGTTGTGTCAACTTAAAGTTGTTAATCTAAGGAGAACCCAAGAATTAACGTAAATCAAATGAACTCTTGTGTCAAAACTTTAAGTTGTTGACCTTGAGGAGAACCTATATTTACGAAATACATTTTCTTGCTTTGGTGCCTAAAGGGAAGAAGCAGTAGATTTTACATCCTGCTTCGGAAGTGAATTATTAAGGGTCAACAAGCGATTTTCCATAACCGAATAAGCTCTAGTGTCCCTTAAATTTTTCCGTACTCGTAACAACAAGGGTGAACTTTGGTTAGAGGGCTTGCGTAAAATTTTGAGCATTGAGGCTAATTCGATTTCTGGGAAAACTTCTCATTGCTTATGTGGTGATTCGAATTGAATTGGGAATCGAACATTACAAAATATTAACTCGATCCGGCTAAATGCAACCAGAACAACTTGCTTAAAAGACATGTTTTGATAAGTTTTCAGTCGTGCAGGGCAATTATCATACTGGGTGTCCTATCTGTGCAGAGCAACACTTGTGTAAACGTAAACAGTGACTGGAGGAAAATGAAAAAAATTAAACGGCAAACAGTGTTTGGAATCGGTTCATCCTATTTACTAACGTTTTAAGGTCCACAAGATTATATCGTTACGGGTGGAAATCAAATTCCAAGTAGTAAAAGTTCAGACAAGTATTTCCTGCGTTTAAATACTTCATTTAAGCGGCCTCAAAGAGGAAGTCGAAACAATTATAGTACTGATCTTGACGAGCCGGAACGTCTCACTAAGGTTAAAAAATCCTAGTGAAAATCTTCGGAAACTGAACTAATCCTGGAAAATACAATAAGTATTTCTCTTAAACCATGTACTTACTATGAAGACAAACAGAAAGAAAAGAAAAGCTGTTTTGAATGCGCACCCCTCCCGGAGAAATTTATCGATGAAGTGCCCATCGTGTAGTTAGGAAAAGCTGGTGAGCGCCCACCTTGACTTATTGCGCGCCAACGGCGTGTTTTGTCAGATTGATAAAAACCTTATATCAGTAATATGCAGTTGACATTCATTCTTCTTCAATTCCATTGAAGGCATTTACAAAATCTCGTTTAAAATTGCCCTCATTTTTTAATTGAGCAATTCTAATGACCTTTCTTCTGTGTTAGTATTTTATAGTATAGTGTATTATAATAATAGTGTATTATAGTAACAGTGGCACTTAGTAGTAATAGTAGTAATAGTAGAATCTACCAATAGTGGTGTCAGCTTTGAACTGTTTTGTAAGTAGTGTAAACCGTTGTTACAGGCTGTAAATGATGTGAGTAGTCGCACTGGACTCTGAGTTACGTAAGTGACTGTATTTGTAATTTTGTGAATAAATAATGATTAGTTAAAAAAAAAATTCATTGTTGATATTTCGAAAGTTTACATTTAATAAACCTTGAGCCATATGATTTAAAAGAGTCACAATCATGATAAATTATAAAACCGTCTGAATATGGTGACTGGAAACGCTAAACAAATTGGGAAATTGCACACGAGAGATTTTGAAAACAATTTCAGTGACGGTGTATTAATCTGTTAAACGGTTGCCGCTACAATAGCTCAAAGATCTTTTCATTTTCATTTTCAATTTATGGGCCTTTCTAGTCGTGAAATATAACATTTCTATGCCAAATAATGAAGTGTGTACGCCTTCATCTCGTTTAATCGCACTTTACTCAGTAGGATTAACTTGAAGACTCTTCTATTCTCCGCATTAGATATTGTGGTCCTCAATAATCCGGGTATCTTTTTCCCACCTGGATTATCGTGACGAGCTGTTGTATAGCACCAAATTCAACATTCATATGCTATTATACTTTACAGATATAATGATCTTCTTTTCAGGGCATTAAGTTTGGAGTTGGCATAATTGGATCAATTAAGTACGTCGTAGATCCATCATCAGTATGGCATTTCCTTCATAGTCGAAGAATGATAAAGGTTTTCCATACGAATACAGTGAGTTTACTTGACGATTCAGAGGCTTTTGTAGCAAATGGAAATCCCTTCTTTTGTCAACGGAATAGTCTGAAATTAAGGTAGGCGGAAGCTGGTTTGGAATCATTTACTGCATTGTATTAGATATTTTACTCCACTTGTTTAAAAACTAGGCAAACAGAGAAGCTACCACAGTTTGTCGTCGCCAGGGTGACACGGCTTAACATGTGATCTGCTCTTCAGGGAGCGTTACTGCATTCAACATGGATTTGAACGATACAAGAACGTGGATCAATTCCACCACCGAGGTTAACGAAGATACCCCTCTGTTTGCTTGCTCCAAGTCACCAGATTTGACATTTGATCTGAATGAAACTACCTTTCCTTGGATTTTGGTGGGTGTCAAATCGTTTGCTTGTCTTTCGATTTCTTTTCTAAACTCACTCGTCATCACGGCAGTGAGAGTAAGGAAGGATCTGTACAAACATTCGTATGTCCTGTCGTCCAGCTTGGCCTGTGCAGACTTTCTCGTAGGAGCTATCACGATGCCCTTCTCCGCGAGTCTCGATGTATTGCTTGCCATCCGAAGAGTAACTTTCGTTTGCATATTAGACATTGTCAATGGGTACTTTATGTATTGTGCTTCCTGGTGTGCACTTTATCACATGACAGCAATTGCCTGGGAAAGGTTCGTAGCCATAACGAAGACAATGCTCTACCCAGTGAAAGTTACCAGAGGTCGCCTCAAGAGGATGGCCCTTGTCCTTTGGATGGGGGCAATGGCTACGACTCTTCCACCTCTCGCGATGGAAGTTGCTGGTGTGAATCTCCAGTTCGTTCAAATGTGGGTTTCTTCCGCGAGCATCTGTGGAGTGGTTTCCTTGATAGCAACCGGGTATTTTTACATCAAGATATACATTGAAGTGCGAAAACGCAAGATCGACCAAATCACCAAAGCGACAGCTATGGCTCAAGCGATACTCGAGACCAAAGTTGCCAAGACAGCCGCCTCGTTGACGCTTGCTTTGGTAATTTCGTTCGTACCAGGCATAATTATCAGCAGCTCCCAAACCCTTCGCACGAGCACTAGCATTCGGGTGTCTGAGCTTATCATGCAGATGGGCTCTGTTGTAAATCCGCTACTGTACAGCTACAGAGACCGTCGCTTCAGAAACGCCGTTCTGGAGATGTTAAGGATAAAAAAGCCGCAAGTTATCCAACGGCCCGCAACCGCAGCCATCCAAGTGCGTCATTTCCAAGGAAAATTCCCGGAGAACTCCAAGGAGAATGCGTCGGGAAAGGACACCCCTAGAGAAAAACAAACTGATGGCTTTACACGTGCAGCATCCTGTAGGTCACTGAACACAGATTTACATCGGCCGTCCCATCAAATTACCCGTCACAAGATGGTGAAGAGATCCATGTCAGCCCCATCGTTTGCCCAAATCAACACCGTTTTCGATTCCTCACACCTGCAGCTTCCTTCTACTGCGACTAGGACAGACATTTCGTGGGGAAAGTAACTCGCGAATTGAATCGGCAACTGATCCTGAAAACTAATTGCAACTAGTACCCACGGGTGCGGACTACACGTTACGAACTTCGTCTTGTCAAAGGCCGAGCGTGGAGAATCACTGCAATGACGTCTTTGAAGACTACAGCTGCGGAAACTCAACAGAGAGGATGCCAGTTGCTCATTAAAAACCGTTTTATTTTCAAGAAGTGATAAATTTTTAAATGTTTTCAATGGCATAGTATGGCTAATATTTAAGATTCAGGACTCGTTTCAGTTTCCTGCAGTGAAATGGTTCATTTTCATGTTCGAAATGTTGTTGTGAATTACGTAACGAAAGAACATTTCGATCTAAGCGAGGCGTCAACTTAGTACTCCGTAGACGAGATCTGTTTTGCATGCCAGTTATTTCATTCTCTTTTCCCAAAGATATAACGTCGTGTCATTAATTGATTGAAAGGTTTTCGAATCATCAGTGGAAAGTTCTACTAGGCTGACAGATTAACGAGCCTTCCTTATCTCCAAAAAACTGAATGATCGAAGAAAGGCTAGTTGTCGGGACTTCCCGGATTTTCACATTGGAAAAACAAAACGTAGATTGCATGACAGGAAAACTGAACATTTCAAAGGGCTTACAAGTGCCTGTCATACATCTGCTATCGCAGACCACGTCACGTCAACTGGTCACAACATGAAATGGGACTACTTTGAGATATTAGACAAAAGGACGTTCTGATACTCATTGCAAGGTAAAGGAGACTCTATTAATTCAAGAACTTAAACCTGCTCTAAACGATGATGTCAGCAGCAATAAGCTTTATCTGTATTAGTTTGCATCTTTGTATATGCAAATTAAG